TACTAATAACTTCAAATTTTTGGCGCTAATTTTTGATAGCGAAACATTTGTACGGAGGACGCGTATACTTGGCGTTTTTTTTTACCTCTTTTTTTAAAAAGGTAATTTTGTATTTATGGCTATTTACATGAAAACAACGCACTAACAGTGAATCATCATGAGGTATTAAAACACGCGATCGCACTATTTCAAGAATATTATCAGCTTTCCGGGGATGGTCATCTAAACAACGCTACGTTACATTTAATGCGTACACCACGATGCGGACTCGAAGATATTCCACATCGAATGTTCAGCACGGAGGTAAAAAAATGGCAAAAGACAAATCTCACGTGGAATTTTCATCTAGCGGACAAATCTGCAATAGAAGTAGCCGAAATGGCTTTCAATATGTGGGCGAAACATTCATCATTAATTTTCACACGCAAAGCAGTAAATCCCGATATCTTAATATCCTTTCGTAACGGTATTCACACATTTGCGCATCGACGCAATGGTGAGGTTTGTCCATATGCACTCGACGGTCCTGGTGACGTACTCGCTCACGCATTCCCTCCCAGCGATCGTGATAGTCACATCGCCGAGATACATGTAGACAAAACGGAACCGTGGTATATACAGCTAAATATGAATCCTCCGGAAAAAATACATTTACTTCCAATATTGACACCAGACCTTCCAGATTTGTCACGAGAGTCTCTCCGGGCATCTTCGGCTAATAGACGAAGATAGCATAACAGCCCGACTCTCTCGCACTCAGCAACGCTCGCTCGGCCGGCGTCTCAACTCGTTCGGCTGGAGTCGGGCGGCTCCGGGCCGCCTCGACTGCTCGGTTCGCCGCTCGCCGCCTTATTTCAAATAGAGATATAGGTTATAGCGTATGTGATGTAGCCGACCCGCTCGATGATTTTGATAATGTAATAATTTCTATGTCGAGTCAATCATGCGTTACCACAACATGAAACGTAATAATTGTCAACAATGTTAATTATAAAAAATATATTAAAGAAATTAATATTGAACAAAAATTAATGTTCTTTTAAAATACATTGTGTGGTTATTTTATAATGCAACACAAATATATTGTTCAATCTGTGTTATTAGTATTATAATGTAACGAAACAATTCAGATAAATATTTAAAAAGATATTCAGTTTTTATTAAATATTAATTTCTTACATATGCATATTATTAAATAAAAATAAAATATCTTTTTAAATATTTATCTCAATTGTTTTGTAATATTATAATACTAAGAATACATATTTAACAATATATTTGTGTTGTATTAATATTATATAATAACCACACAAAGTTAGTATTTCAAAAGGAAATTGATTTTTATTTAATATTTTTTTGAATATAGTATTTATATTATAACAAACACTGTACGCAATTATTATGAATAATGTTCTGATAACGCGTGATTGATTCAAAATAAAAATTATTAAATATATATATATATATATATAATTTAATTAATTTCAGATTATTTTTGAGGTTCTATTGTTGACGCAAGAGTGAAATATTAAATCAATGCACATACAAATTTTGATGCATTGTTAGAATATCTAAAAATCTAAAAAATATGTACTTTTTTATATATAATAAATAAAAAATCAGGTAATAAGCATATACACATCTCCGAAATAAATCTTTACAAACATTTCAAGTTTAAATGTATAATATATATTTTATCTTTTTTTTATACAGCAAGTGTGTGTGTGTGTGTGTGTGTGTGCGTGCGTGCGTGCGTGCGTGCGTGTGTGTGTGTGCGTGTGTGTGTATCCCATAATAAATCAAGCATAATATTGATTTATTATGGGATATTGACGCCACGGACGACCGTTCCTCCCGCGGCCTCGTTGCTCGTACCAACGGGCCCGAGTTCTCCCTCGTCCTTGGCCACGGTGAACTCCTAAAACAAAAAGAATACAAATATTATTACAAAATACAGAAAATAATAAATATGAAATATGATAAAGCATGACCAATGTACTCTCTAAAAGTGAATCAGTGAAATTATCACTGATTTTCAGTATATACTTTGTAAGTTACTTATTTAGAACTGTAATAAACAGTGCAAATATCTCAATGTATTTTTAGTGATAATATACTGATTCAAACAGTTAATATCACTGAAAGACAGTGAGTTTCACTGTCAAACAATATTAAGAATTGAAATTCAACCGTCTTTCAGTGATATTTATTATTTCAATCAGTCTCTCGTCAATGAAACATTGAAATATGCAATGTTCTGTCTCAGTTGTTAGTATGCCACTGAAAAATGATACACATTGAGAATTAGTCATGATTCCACTAATTCATTCTTATAGAGATTCGATTGACAATTTTGAAAAACGTACTTCTATCATGCTGCTGTTGTTGCTGCTGCAGCGGCTGGTCCCGTGGCTCGTCCCGCGGCTGGTCCCGCGGTTCGTCCCGCGGCTGGTCCCGCGGTTCGTCCCGCGGCTGGTCCTGCGGTTCATCCCGCGGTTCGTCCCGCGGCTCGTCCTGCAGCTCATTCCGCGGTTTTTTGTTCAGAGGCTCCTGCGACCGGTCCCGCGGCTCCTTTCGGACACAGTTCCGCGACTCCCGGAGTTCGTCCTGCCTCTCGTTCTGCGGATTTTGCAACAGTTGCTTCATCTGAAGCAACTGTTGTTGCTGCTAATGCAGCAAATTATGCAGGCGCTGCATCTCCTTCCTATCCTCTTTGTGTTGCTGCTGCAACAGGTGTATCTCCTGTTGCAGCTGCGACATGTCCGCATTCGTTTCGGGAAACATTTCCTCTAGAAAAAAAAGTAGTTCATACTTTCATAAATATTTGTGCAAACATTACACATTAAACATTATATTATGCTAGCTATTCAAATTAAGGTTAACTTGTTAACAAAATCTGAGAGCTGCCTATTGTAAAAACCGAGTCGTATTTTATAACTTAAATTCTTAACTACAGCATTTCGAAATTTGAGATGCTATCAAAATCGCAAATTTGACTGCAAAAATGTGAAATATAAATAAAAAATCTGTAAAATACTTACGTGATTCCTGCATTTTGACGAGACACACACACATGTACGGCACGTACCCTCTTGAATAAAACTGTGCCATAAAACAAATGAAGGGGGGGCGTATTGACGCCCCCCTAGCAGAAACGGCGTTTGTTGAACTAATGCATTTCGCTAATGTCGATAACGTCATATGATATTGTCGATGGCTAAATGCATTTTCACCTTCGTTAATGTGCTTATTGCGTTATTAAACAAGAACGTGAGTTAAATATCTTACAATCTTGTGACACGCAAGGAAGTGTGTTTCGTGAATTGTGCTTTTAATCAGAAGGCCTTGTACCGCAGAAAAAAATCCGTGAATTTAAGGTCATAAATTTTTGCAATTAAGGCTATATAAATATATTCAAGGGTGTTTTTCATATTTCTGAATCTCTGCTATTAACAGTTTATAATTAATCACTTTTGTGTATTATAATTCAGAATCTTGGTTTAGCTGTAGTTCCACTTTAACATGGAAACACAAGATAAAAATAAAAAAACAACACAGAAAAAAATGAAGCGAAGCTTTTCAGAAGCTTGGCTCAATGATGAGCGATGTAATTCTTGGATACGAAAAGTGCCCTCGGATGATAGCCTTTTTCACTGTATCATATGCAGTAAAAACTTTACGTGCGGCCCATTGTCAAATGTTATAAGGCATGCAGAATCAGTGCTTCATAAAAGAAATACTGAAAAAAATACATCGTTACTT